AGACCGCGTCTAGGCAAACGCAGTTTAGGGCGCCCTCCAGCTACGTGGAGTGACGACATCTGCAAGGTGGCTGGCAGTGGTTGGATGAGAAGAGCTGAAGACCGAGCTCAGTGGCGTGCCATTGGAGATGCCTATGTCCAGCAGTGGACGAATACAGGCTGATGATGAAAAGTTCTCAAGTTGCACTAGGAAACTCAGGTACTAAAATTCCTGTGTCAATGAAAATATTACTCGAGATTTCAATTTGAAACTACTCCGCAATTGTTGCAATGCGATTCCAAAAAAAAAGGGACGGTAGAAACTCTCATTGTTATTTTTTTTTACCAAACGGCGCATCGGACTTCCCTTTCGCACACCCAAGGCACGCCTTACAAAAAAAAACATTTTAGTACAATGAACATTTTGCCCCGATGCGCAAACGCATCCGAAGCTGTCCATACCCAATCAAACTAAATGATATTCAATAGCGTGCACAAACTGAAATAACCAGCGTTACGGATCAGTGCCATTCTGAATACGAGAGTAAAAGAGATAGCTATAAAACAACGAAGAAAGGAGCAAGACAGATGTATGATGAATAAAAGAACACTTTTTTTTAAGGACACCGTTCGGCGTTGGGTATAAAAAGCTGTTCGCACTTCGGTTTTTGTCGGGTAACATCGGAGGCCACGAGGTGATACACCTGCGCGTGCGACGGTTAGCGGTTCATTAGAAATTTTTATTAATTTGACTTGGATTTAGGAATTTTTGGTTGTAGACGCCACTTTTAAAATGTAACAACCATTTTAGGTTGCGTTATATGTCTTACGTAATTAAGGTTAGCCCTATTTTCATATTAGTCCAGGCAATACAGATATAATTTACATTACACATTAATGTGAAAGATAACTATACTTTAAGTGTTTCTGTAGTTGCTACCTTACTGGGCCGCATCCTAATTGAGTGACAATCAATTAACATGCAGTGTACTTACATGATTAGTCGATATAAGATATCAAGAATTTTACAACCGAAAGACCTCAAAGTCTACTCAAAATAACCCATGCAATATGTTTACCATTCAAAACTTAATTTCGAAACCTAGGAACGTTGTATCGGTGAACTACATAAGGAAATACAAACCCTTCATTTATTGGTAATAATAATATCTATTTAAAAACAGGGGTAGGGTAGCGACCCTACAATGGGGACCTAACATGAACCGTACAATACAATTACCTACGCAGTGTTTTTGCTCATGTGGCGCGCGCAAATTTCGAAATCCTTACTATTTGAAGTTATAAATGCAAAATTGTGTGTATGTTTGTTTGTCTTACGCGTCCCAATGGCGCAGTTTTGAGTTTGGAGATAGTTAAGGGGTGAAAGTCAAATCAATTTTTGGTAAAACGTTACCCCACAGTACGATTTTCTCTTGTATCGTGGGTGCGTTAACATACAAGTTCACATACACATGACACCCAGACCCGAAACAACAATTTGTGGATCACACAAAGAGTTGCTCCGTGCGGGAATCGGACCCGCTGCACGTTGCGCGGCAGCCGGTTGCCCAGCCACCGCGCCAACCGTGCTGTCAATTTCAATTAAACCATCATTTTGTACTTTGACACGTTAACAAATACAAAATAAATTGTAGTCTATCGGTCTGTCAGTCAGTGAAGCTCGGTGTTTAGTGAGGCTAGTCTTTGAATATGGGGTCGTAATAAACATATCTTTATTTGAGTGTCTGTTAGAGGAGTTAGAAGATACGAAACAGAGTCAAAATAAGGCAACTTATTTTTAACCGACTTCAAAAAAAGGAGGAGCTGCCACAAACCCATAACAAAATATAAAGTAGTTAATGGTCACAGTCACAGCTGGTATAATCCATAATAAAATTGTAAACAGCTTAATAATGTTAGATATCTATTAAGGGTCTAATGAATAATTTTGTTTAAAACTTGTGGCACCGACTTCTAACCTATCAGTGGGTGTGTAAGTATCTACGTATGACCAATAATAGTTATTTTTTTTCCTTTTTAGTTTTTACTTTACGTTTGTCTTTATTTTTTGAAGTCGATTTTTTTTGGCGCAGTTTTTAATTTTATTTGATAAATTATTGGCAGAAATAAGTTTAGATTTGAACTATACTGAATTGATAATAATAATTAAATTTTTTTAAATGTATACATCATAAAATCACATTTAACCACCACAATTTAACTGTCAGTCATTCACCCTTTCTATACAAAAATAGGATGCACACGTAACTTTTTAACACAAACAAACCGCACAAAATTTCAAGGACACACTTGTACTCCGGACACTGACCTTCATGTCCTTCAAGGGAGTTCAAAAAGTATTTCTGAACGAAAAAGGAAAACCGGATAAGTTCAAACCGCTCCCATAAGGTCACTTGAAGGTCATACTTGGGCTATTATTATGCAATATGACCTTGAATCTGTTATTTAACACATGCTTATAAAACAATGGGAGATAGAAATAGACTCGGTCATTTTACAATGGTACTTATAATCGTTTTATATGACTGCCTCGTTGACCGCGTGGTCGCAAGTGCGATTGCCGGGCAAGGGAATCGAACCCTCTCGGGTCGGGTAAAGTATTACTGGGTTTTTTAAAAGAAAATTCTCAGTAGTAGCACGGAGTCTGGAATTGTGCTCGATATATGGCAATAGACTCACTCCCTATTACATGGGACTCATAACATAAATAGTGAAAAGTGGGTGTTACATTGTTCAGTGGCATTAAGTGCCGCAATGTTCACCTCTGCCTACCCCTTCGGGAATAAAAAGGCGTGACGTTATGTATGTATGTTATAATCGTGTTTTAAACTGTCAAACACCGAGCGGTCACCGGTGACCGCAACCTATTGTTGTTTAACCCTTAACCGGAATCGTGGGTCCGCTCGGACCCGACGTCGATGAAAAAAGCGTTAAAGAAGACACTAAAAAAGATTACCAAATTTAATACCTAAGATATTAAGTACAATAAAAGGGATAATTTCCACATTTTAATGAATAAAAGTTGATTAATATATTACTTAAAACTTGTTTCAATTATGACGTTAACTTACCTAAGTGGAAAATTCATCATTTTAGAGAAAAATAAGGAATTTAATTCTTGGGTCCGATTGGACCCACGATTCCAGTAATGTAGAACATTTTAACGATTCCGGTTAAGAATTAATTGTGTCTATAATGACGGTACTCAACGAGTGAGGGAATGATCATCGAATGATTCTTCGCATTCTAGGTGTGGAAACACTCCTGTTAAGACTGTATTGACTAAAAACAAACCCGCTTTTCTGCAACCCTGGTTGGTGTGCAATGCTGAACTTGTCAATGGGGCGAGAGGGAGTGTCTCTCTTACTGAACTAAAAACCACCCTGTCCCCTCCTGCTTCGAAGAAGCGTTACGATAACTTCTTCAGTTTTTCTGTAAGTATGCAGTACAGATACTGTCAGGAATGAGATAGTTTTTTTTATGGGATAAGCCGGTACATGAGCAGACGGATCACCTGATGGTAAGCAATCGGCGTGAAACACCAGAGGCAATAAAACAACGTGACCAGCCTTTAGGGAATTGGGAATTTGAGGATTGTGGGGGATTCGGAGACTGGGGAGACTGAGGAGGGGGTAATTGGGCCTCCGGTAACCTCACTCACACGATGAAACACAACGCAAGCGTTGTTTCACGTTGGTATCGTCAATCAATGGTTTTTTAAGGAATCGTATAGTAAACGAGCAGACAGACAGATCACCATAGTAGTCTCAAGTACGTTGCCAATATTTCAAAAAGGAGGATGTTTTATGGTGAAGAATAATGTATTAGGGGAACTATACTATATGTTACCTCATATGATTGAACAGTTAGAAGAATAATAATAATAGATACATAATTATGTGATCACTCAACCAAAGCCTCGGCTTAATGATGCTACAAAATTACTGATGATAATAACGACATTTTAACTATTACGGTTTAAGTTATTCCCCGTCGGTAAAACTAGACTACGTACGTGGTTTATTATCAAATAGTGCTTGTACGCAGATTTTAGTGTCCAAATTAAGTGCTGATAACATTCTTAAGAAATTAGTTGTATTTTTTTTAAATATGAGGCAACTCCTTAGCTTTAACACTCTCAATTGATTTTTTTATGGTATAGATGAGTAGACAGATAACCTAATGGTAAGGAATCTGCGCCAACCATAGACTGCAAAATCAGAGGATATATTTTAATGCGAAAGTTTGCGAGGGTATACCCTCGCTTACTTTCAATGTGTGGATACTATATGATTGAGCTGGGTGGTGCTAGTGTACGTGTCATGTTCGTGAACGGACGCCGTCAACTGGGACTGGTCAGTTCCAGGCTGTATGATTTTATTGTCGTTATGGTTATTTTGTTTTTCGATCTGATTGCCTGGACTTCGGTGTTACATTGTTCTCATACAACTGAACCCACCCAACTATGTAACTAGAAAATTGTATTGTAAACCTGATTAAAACATATGGAGTTTCTAGCTCGTTCTTCTCCATAGGAATCTAAACCTTGGAATGAACAAATAGCTACACTTTTAAATTTTTTATTGACGTTCAAAAGTACTTTTATGGTCTAATTGAAACAAATGACTTTGGCTTTGACTCTTTCACGAAAACGCTACTGAACAGAATTGGATATATGGTAGATTTTAGTCTGGAATGGGGTAATTTTTATTCCGAGAATGCGGGTGAAACCGGGTGAAGGTATACTTAACATCAGACTTCGGAATCAAACGCTTGTGACTTGCGATTGAGTAATGGAACAGTCATTGAACATTGATGAATCACAATCGACTCCATTTTAATCCCGCACGTTCTAAGGCCCCAATAAGACGACAAAATGATCTTATAAAAACAATATGGCGGTCAGTTTTTGCCGCCAAATAACGTGAGAGGTTATTGACTTACATCTTTAAGATAATACAAAGAAGTTATGAAGTATTTTTTTGTGAATATCAAATCCTGACGACATTGAAAAGAGGAATATAATAAAAAGTTATTTTGTGGCCTCTGTCTTTTAAAAGACGAAGATTTATTTTTTATGGAATAGGAGGCAAACGAGCAGACGGATCACCTGATGGTAAGTGATCAGCGCCGCCCATGGACACACGCAACGCCAGAGGTGTCACAGGTGCGTTGCCGGTCTTTTAAAAAGAAATACGCTCTTTTGTTGAAGGTTTGAAGGTCGTATCGGTTCGGAAATACCGCCGACGACAGGATGATTCCAGTTTTGCTGTGCGAGGCAGGAAGCTACCTAAGTTGCCCTCGCTTGTGTATTCGGTATTCGCGATACTGAATTTTATGCAGTTTGCACCAGTAGATATCATGATTCTTTAAGGTTTAAGTGTAGCCGTTTTCACCAACCACCCCTAAACTTACTCAGCACGACGTAGCACCTAAACTAACCCCTTGTTCATACTGTTAAGTAATTATAGTTTGAAAACCAATATGCCGATAAGTGCCACCTGTTTTAGCTTAGAAATTGCTTAAAATTTAAGAAAGGTTGGTGAAAACGGGCACAATTCTAATTTAAACCGGTAAAAGAACAGCCGGATCACCTGATGGTAAGCCATGCGCCGGCGCCCATGGACATCTGAAACACCAGAGGCGTGAGAGAGAGAAGCTGAGGCTGACCACAAGTGCGTTACCGGCCTTTTGGAGAATAAGAATTTGAGGATTGTTGGTGATTCGGAGATTGGGGAGACTGGAGACACTCACACGACGAATTTCACGTCGGTTTTCCGTGTGGCCCTGGTATCACTCCGATCGCGTCCATTCGTGCCGAAGCATAGCTCTCCCACACTCATTAAGTAATTGGGGATAAAGCTGCCAGCCGATAACTGTACGCCGGCCGAACTTAACCCAAATAAGAAAGAAAACTAAGAGAAAGATATCGTCCATCGATACACCAACACATTCCGTGTTGTGTAACATATTAACTTGCATTCGTTTTACATACTTAGATAAACTACGTCATTTTATTTCCTACCAACTTATCTAACGAGACAGGTCAAAGTCATACAATGTTGTGTTAGTATAATACTGTTATCTTGAGGTTTTTTTGATTAATATGACTAAAATCATGGTCAGCAGTGAGCGTCTAATGGCTGATTATGATGACTAGTTTTAGTTCAGATGCGATACCATCTTAGTAACAACCATTCTTGTTTTGATAGGATTTTTTTTAACATTTTATTACGGGGTTAAATCATCGAACGATTTCTTCCGCCTGGATGAGGCGAGAGGGAGTGTCAGACTTTTAGTGACTAAAGACCACCCCGTTCCTACTCCTGCACTTCGAGCCGGAGCCTTGGTAACCTTTTACATTCTCCGCGGCTGTTTTTTAACGAAATAGGAAGCAAAAGGCGTTTATCATTTCAGGGAGAAAGACTTTGAGGAGAAACGGATCACCTGATGGTAAGCAATAAGCGCCGCCCATGGACACTCGCAACACCAAAGGAGTTAGAAGACCTACACCGTACTTTAGTTTTTTTTGGCATATGTCGGTAAACGAGCAGACGGATCACCTGATGGTAAGCAATCGGCGTCGCCCATGGACACCTGGAACACCGGAGGCGTTACAAGTGCGTTACCGGCCTTTAGGGGGTTTAGGAGTTTCAGGATCGTTGGGGATTCAGGGATTGGGGAGATTGGGGAAGCGGAGGGTAATTGGGCCTCCGGTAACCTCACACGACGAAACAGACGTCGGTTTTCTGTGAGACCGTGGTATCACTCCGGGAGACTTTCAAAAGGAAGTATAGATACTCCCTTTTCTTGAAAGTCTTATCGGTTCAGAAAACATAGTTAAGAAACCCAATCGGTTCCCTACCGGTAATCAAACCAAAAACGCGAAATTCGGTACACTAGAAAAGAGACAGGATGACGCATGATATGACAAACCTGTTACGTATATAATGTAAAGATTACATAACAAATTAGCACAGAGACGTAGAATAGCGGAAGATACGCAAACAGTCTAAATACATAATTCAAGTAATGTATGGTAAAGTCAGATATTTATTAGAAACGAAACTGAAAGGACATGCATGCCTTAGTTTATTTAACGACTTCAAAAAGAAAAATAGATTTTCTCAGCTTGACCCGTATGTATGTATGTGTGTGTGTACGATTATCTCGTGATTGGCTAAACCGATTTTGATGCAGTTTTCAGAAAAGTGGTTGTTAATTAACCGACTTCAAAACAGAGCGGATTAAAGTCGGTTTTTTAAACGTAGTAGAATTATTATTGCATTAAGTAAAATCGCGGGTTTCTCACGTGAATATACTGAGAAAAGCTATACTAGTTTCGAACCACAGAGGGGTTCTTCCTCATGATCAGCGTGCGCGATCGCGGCGACGTCGCGCAGCTCACTGTAACCCGCGATTTTACTTAATTTAGTATGTCTCACGATAGTTATTATAAAAACAATTATTATTGCGTTTATAGCATGTGATGGCATTTATAGTTACCACCTCTACTCCTCTCGTGGTGGTAAGAGTAGGATAAGGCACTACTTATTTAAGACTGGGCAGCAGTGCTTTCTGATAAACCCGATCCCCGTGCCCTGTTACATACAGGCCTTATGGCAGGATAGAAATTTGAAGATTGGGGATTTGCAGATTTAGGGACCACGTCACATACCCCAATAAATACACGATACCCAAACTAGAGTTTGACGAACAGAGTATAGATAGATCCTAAGATCGGAAAAGGAGGTTCCTCCGCCTGGCGTGTGTCACCTGCGTTTTGGGGATCAGGAATTTGAGGATGGTTAGGGATTCAGGGATTGGAGAAGGGGTCGGAATGTGTGGTAATTGAGCCTCCGGTAACTTCCCTCACACGACGCAACACAACGCAAGAGTTGTTTCACGTCGGCTTTCTGTTAAGCCGTGGTATCAGTCCTGTCGAGCCGGCCCATTCATTCAGCATGGCTCTCCCACACTTCTGTCTTTTATCAAAATGTCATGTCATAGAGTATCAAACCCAGACTGAAGCCACACTAAGCGCGATAATAATGTTATACTACACGTTCCAATATCATTCACGTGAAACTAATTCATATAACAACAGATCTTCAAGGCTTTTTCTCCAAAACACTCTATTGTAAGTAATATACTAAATTATGGAATACTTATGTAGTTGTGTTTGTGTGTACATACATACATAACTTCACGTCTGTCTCCCATAGGGGTAGGCAGAGACTGAAACGCCAATAGGGTAGATGCCTAATTTTTATTTTAATTTCCGTCTGGTAGATTATTTTAAATCATTAGACACGTATTTTTTATTTTCTTCCAGAAAAGAATACTTTCGACGATATATTTATTTGAAATGTCCCGTGACGCCACTTCTATGTACATTTTATACGTAATGTAGAAATGACGTTTTAGACCCCACTCTTAAACTTTGATTCGTTTAATCTAAGTATTGTTTTATTATACGCCAAGAAAAAAAAATACGTGTCTAATGTTTTTTCATTACCTAACTTACAGACAAACTAATTATATTTTTAATCATCATCCCAATTACTACGAATCCTACATACCTCTTTCGCTTCATCAACAGTCATCAGTCTTTTCATGCATGCTCGTTGGTTAAGGGTATTTTTAATTTGGCCCTTCTTTAATATATCGCCAATCTGGTCAGTATATGTCCGTCTAGGGCGTTAATAAATAATTAGTTTGCATGTTAATAAATTCAAAAGATATTTTTCACGATTATCATCATCACATCAGACATAAGACGTTCATTGACAAACATAGGTCTCCGTCGGTGATATCCCCATTGGTTGGTGGGAAACGACCTGTCTACAGAGGCTCATAAATAATATATTTATTGATTACTGACAACTACCTATTTGATTACGTGTCAGATGAATGCGTGACGTCGGCCATCCATAACTGTTGGCCCCAGTCGTGAGTTGAAATCAATCGAGCGAAAAGAAGTCAAATCATTGATTTACAGTTGCTTAACAATTCTTTTACAAACTAAGTTTAAAAAAGCCGACTTCAACCCCCTCTTCTTTTAAAGTCGGTTAATGAATATACTAAAACTTTCTGTTAAGTGTTGTTACACTTAATAGAAAGTTTGACGTGGTTTTCAGAAAAGTGTTTATTGTTATAAACACTATTGTTATTGTTATAAACACTTTTCTGAAAACCGTATCAAAATCGGTTCAACCATTCGCGAGATAATTGAACTAAGAACCTCCTTTTTTGGCGATCAAAAATACAATTTAAAGAAGGCATAATAAATAGGTAAAAAATAAATGGCAAAATATCAGTGTGCTAGCTACTTCCGCGCGGTTTCACACGCTCTGCTCAGCTCCTATTGGTCGTAGCGTGATGTTTTATAGCCTATAGCCATCCTCGATAAATGCGCTATCCAACACAAAAATAAATTATTCAAATCAGACTTGTAGTTATGGAGATTAGCGCGTTCAAACAAATAAACAAACTCTTTCGCTTTATATAATAAGTAAGTATAAAAGTATAAGTATAAGATTGGGTGGAATTATTCTCTGATAGTTAAGAAATCAATCCATATAATATTTTGCCCCAAGCCAAGGATGACTAATAAAACCCATTAAGCACCATTCTTAATATCTCTAATTGCACTTTAGAAAAAAAAACAGACTGTAAAAAAGCAACGTCTTTAGAGTTTATCTATGGCTATTTGGCACCTTGGCTTTTTGCCAATTCTAAGCTCCGTTGTAGAACGTCTTACAAATGATGTAATATTACTGTAACGTCAAATGGACATGTAAAATAAACATCCTGATGATATTTCTTTAATTTCGTAGTATTTTATTTGTTTTGATGTTATATCTTCTCTTCGTGAAGATTTGAGTGATGGTTTTATTTTAAGTTGTTGATATGATAATAAACAGTGTCCGTTTAAGTGGGGTACTTTACATACCATCAAAATCATCATGAACAGCTCCGGACACAACTGCTGAACGACGGACCTCATCTACATAACAGTTGACATTTTATCTACATAACCTACACGACGAGTATGAAGATTTATGTCTTCATACTTTACGTGTAGGTTTGAGATCGCGATTTCAAAGGTTCAGGTTTGTGTTGTGGTGTCTGTCCAATGCGTAGTCCGGTAAACCCTAAGTTAAGTTTTTTTTAATGGTATAACCCTGTAAGCGAGCTAACAGATTACCTGATCAATCGACGCCACCCATGGACACCCGAAACAGAGGCATTTCAAGTGCGTTACCGAACTTTTGGGGATTAGGAATTTGAGGATTGTTGGGGAGTCAGAGATCGAGGAGGGGTGTAATTGGGTCTCCGGTAACCTCACCTACACGACGAAATACAAAGCTAGTGTTGTTTCACGTCGGTTTACTGCTCGGTCGTGGTATCACTCTGGTCGAGTCGGCCCATTCGTGCCGAAGCATGGCTCTCCCACACTTATCTCCCAAGTGCACTTATGACACCGTGACTAAAGTATTTTACCCTATCTGCCAGCATTATTCTGTGAAATGCTGCAATTTTCTACCAGTCATTTCCTCTCTGTTAGTCCCTTAGTCGGCTCTTAAGACAGCTGCGGTAAAAGTAGGAATGGAGACATATTGGATATCCTGCTCTGTATAATGTTATTATGCGTATACCTTATGAAACACCACGTCAGAGGCCTTACTCTTGGCCGGGTAGTGAAGCGGCACGGCTGAAATTGTCACGGTCATATACGAATATTGAAACAACTTATATTTAGATGCGTGGGATATTCATATCGCCGGTTGTATTCTGGCAACATCCACGCTTATACTAGCGATGTAAACTCGATTTCATTCGCAAGAAACTGCTTTTATATTGTAAAAGACTGCAGTTTGGTTGTTTGTTTGGACGAGTTAATCTCAGGAACTATTGGTTTGTTTTGAAAGATTACTTTTGTGTTGGAAGTTCATTTATTGATAGAGGATATGGGCTACAACATCATGTTACGGTCAATAGGAGCCGAGTAGATGGCGAGACAGCGTGGTTGTAGCTAGTTTGAGGTTTTTTTTAGTTAAAACATGTCAAAAGGTTCTACGTATCTTTTCAAAATTTGATTGGAAAAGATATAATGACAATTCCTTTGCAAAAGACTAGAGATTTAGGAGTGAAGGGGATATTTCGTCATACCGTTACCCACATAACCAGAATAAAATGCTACCCATTTTTACTATATCACTGTCTCAATATTTGTAATTTTAGCGTGAAAGAGTGACAAACCCCTAAATTTTTTTCAACTTCAACTTTTAGGTAATAATATTAGTAACTATAATAGTGAAATTTTAATCCAGAAATATGCTATGATCTAACCCAGCATTCCTTGCCCAATAATAATGCAAATTTAGTTTGTAAAAATTAAAAAAAAGCTGTTTTGAAGCCTCAAATCGTTAGTCTAGTTAGACCATGTGCTTATGACCCGTTAGCAAGACACCATTGCCAAAAAGGCAAGTTATTGTTAAGTTCCAATGAAAATTCCATGTAGCGTAATATCATGCAGGCGAATTCTAATAATGATTTTAAATTAACATACCTGTTCAGGGTCAGAAGTCTGAAACAAATGAATCTATTTAGTTTCGTCTTTATTTACATCTTTTGTCATGAACATGCCCTTAGGCGGAGGATGTTTAAGACATTTTCGCTTATTGTGAACCCCCTAGAGGAGGGCAAAGTTATTAGTAAGCTGGGAGAATTACTGAATCAAAAACACCCAATAATACTTTTGCCCGACCCGTATACTTGGTAAAAACAGTCAATTAAGTTTATGAAGACGTAATTGCATTGGGATCGTTTCGATATAATACTGAAACATCAGAATACCGATCGTCGTATACTATTTGTTTGTACTCAAGGTTAAAAACAAGAATGTCGGGAATAGATTTTGTTTAATGGTCAGTTTTACGCATAAACATTTTGGTTGATGAAGTAACAGGCAATGAAGAGGCGACATCTATTAGATTAGGAGAGAACTACGTTGACAGCATTGACGGGAAAATTGTAATGACATTGACAGATTTTGTCGAGACACCTGGAGACAGTATTTTGTTTAATACTCGCCGAGATGTTTATCACATATTGCTTAAGCTCTTTCGATGGTTTAGGTATTTGGTAATTATTATTTATATGGGTGCTAAATATTTTAACTAGTTTATTTTCCTTGTTAATAAAATCTTTCCTTAATAAAACTAAAAACTGTGTCATTTTCCTATTTCCTCAGCCAATAAAACATATGATATGAATGAAGTATTAAACGTAATATTTCCTTTATCTAAGTATACAGAGGTCTATTAGCCAAAAAAACCCTTAAACTAAAACCTAACTCAACTCAAAAATATCACCACATAAATCAAACCGAGCAGTGGAGCACATATATACAAGCAAATAAATATTTGGGCAGCCCCTTACGATCAAAAGCGCGTTCCCAATCTTTACTTAGGTACCAGGACACTTTGATGTAGAGGGTACGTACTTTAGGGACCCTTACGAAATAGGACACCTAAAAAATTGTTTCAGGAAGGTACTGTGTTGAAATTTTACGCTGTATTGGATATATTTACGTCAGCGGTGGATTGGGGGCGGTGGTTTAAGGAGTGGAGGTGGAAAATGTACGTATATTCGTTTTAATGTGTTTTTAAGCATACCTTCTTATGTCAGTATCAAAATGGACTCGTTCTTTATGCAAAAAACAAAAAGCCAACATGAAAATTGGTAAAAAAAATACGAAAAATGGTTAAAAATGCTCCTCATATTTTACTCCAGAATTGTAGCGGTTCTTTTCAATATTGAGGTTTACCTAGCTTGATACACCGTGTTATACTTTGCAAGTCCTTTTGGGAACAAATCACCACTACTCCTATTTAAAACAGTTCTCAGTTAAATCTAAAACCCTCAATGAAAAAAGGAACGCGAAGGTGAAACCGCTATTTCTGGCAAAGGGACAGTTCGTGGTAACAAAATTTGACAGAAATAACAATCCAATGACAATCAGGGTTGTCGCGTCACAGAGGCGTTGACACCAGTGACGTAGGACCTGGCTACGTGCCAACCCTAGGCCGATACTATCAAACTCCAACATGATTTAGTTGTAAAGTTTTATGCGAAGCAGTTAGTTTTATTTTCTTTGTAAATACGAGTGGATGAATGAAAAAAATGGGTGTCCTCGCGTTTTTGTTGCGATTATTAACATTATTAAGAAGTTTGGAGTTCATAATATGATTATTTAGTTTACCGCGCGAAATAAAATAACACGAAAACATGTACAATGTAGTCATTGTTGACGAAACTTGAATAAGTTGAATGGGACAAGACACAAAAATGAGCTTTTTTTTAAGGGGGAAAAATCATCGAATGACTGCTCCCGCCTGGGTGAGGCAGGAGGGAGTGTCAGACTCTTACTGACTAAAAACCACCCCGTTCCTTCTCCTGCACGTCGAGCCGGAGCCCCGGTTACCCGTTAGGTTCTCCGCGACTCCGAATTGGCATCGGCCCTGTTGGGCCCCATCTGTGGTGGTCTGATGGCTCTTTGAGGCGCGCGCGGAACGCGACAAAAATGAGCTAGCAATCACCTGAGGGTCTAGGACGAATTTGTTTTACGTTCAACGAGATCAAAACGTTACCACGTTCGGCGCTGATTGGCCTGTTCCAATGAACCAACCAATTATAACGCGCAACGAGGTAACGTTTCGATCTTGTTTAACTTAAAACAAATAGGGTAGTTGCCTAAATTTTATTTTAATGTCCGTCTGGTAGATTAATTTAAAACATTAGACACATATTTTTTGTCTTCTCACAAAATTAGATACTTTCGATGATATATTAATCTGGAATATCGTGTGACGTTACAATGCGCATTTTGTAGCACTTTGTGACGTAACGACCTTCGACGACTCCTAAACTTAACTCCATTACTTAACCAACAAAATAAAAAATACATGTCTAAATTTTTTTTATTATCCAACTGACGGATTAATTAGATTTTTAATTTTCATTCCCTGGCAACTACCCTATTCTTACTAAGCCCGCTAATGGCTTGATGGTAAGGGCATTTACTATTAGCACAGCCCATGAAAACCCGCAAGACGAGTTGCTTGCAAGATTTCAAGTCCGTTGGTGACTTGCCTTTGACTGCACACATCGCAAGAGTCGTTTCACCCTTAAATTCTATAAGACTCCGGTCGGACCAGCCCATTCGTGGCGAAGCATGAAGTATAAACGTATCTGATAATCTTTTTATATTCATTACCTTCCTCAAACACGACATTTAACATCCATTCATCACTACCCCAACATCCTTAGTTACAAAGGAAATTACTCAAAACTTGGCTGTAATTCATGAAAGTTAGAGGTCAGGATGACGAGGTACGTACGATGATCTGCTAAGGTGGGCGAGTAAGTGACTGTGCAGAATTTTCTTACAGTAATATTAATGTGAGTCAGTCAGGAGTCGGGACCGTTCTTTTGGACGTAGCAACGGATGTATAAAATGTCAAGCATGACCTTTTTTATGAGTTATTCTTTACGATTTGTCCGTTTCGTCACGGGATTATACTTTTTTGAAACTTTTTTGATCTTAACATTGGACTTCAACGTCATCATGTTAGTGACATGACGTCTCCTGCTGAATATAGCATCTAAGACTTTAGATTGGTTGGGAGCGATCTGAATCCAGTGACCTTTATCGGGACTATCTGTCCACCCCGTTGACACCCTGTGCAATGAAATTAAAACACATTTTCCCGTCTTTCTTATTATTGTGCTGCTAACCAAAGAGGAAACAAAATTAATCAACAAGCAATTTACACCAAGGGCTACAAAAAGAAAACCATAAAGAAAGCGAGGCAAACTTTCTCCGAATTAAAAGAAAAATAAAAACAGAACAGTTTGAAAGTGGAACTCCTTATCGGTAGACGGTAAAACTATTTGACATAACAAGATGGCGGTTACATAACCTAGAATTGATTATAACTATTATCGAATGTTTTTATAGTGAATTGGGTATGGTCACAGACGGATTAAATAAACCTAGAGAGTAAGAGAATGCCCTAGGTAAGCACCTAATTGGCGCCCCGACACCACCACCACTCTATACTCTATGGACAGGCGTCTCGCGCCTTCGGCAATTGTCTAGTTTGCTTAAGGGATAATAGGACTCGGGGTATGATATATTGCTTTCTGGTACTTTTCCAAATAAGCAAACATTGAGGCAGTTTTTTTATGAGATAGAAGAGCACAAAAGCTCTTAGATCACCTGAAGATGGTCAACGATCAACGCCGTCTATTAACTATGAACCGTAGTTAAAAATGTAATTATAGAACACCTACATTTTGGCAGTAATAGTCATAGTCATTCCAGTCAGTCCACAATAAGGTTCTTATGTTTGCCATAATTTCCTCGCTTAGAAGGGGATTTGGAGACTGCATTTTAAGGGTTCTGGTTTATCGGAGACCACTGTTCTTTGACCTCTGTTAAATGTTGTCTCTTAGTGTGCTCTTATGACAAAGGTGTCAGCGAAATTAATTGTCACCACTTTTTTTTATACCATAAGCCGGTAAACGAGCAGACGGATCACCTGATGGTAAGCAATTGGCGTCGCCCATGGACACCAGAGGCGTTACAAATGCGTTACCGGCCTTTTGGGGATTAGGAGTTTGATGATCGTTAGGGATTCAGGAATTGGGGAGATTGGGGAAGGGGAGGGTAATTAGGCCTCCGGCAACATCACTCGCACAACGAAACACAACGCAAGCGTTGTTTCACGTCGGTTTTCTGTGAGGCCGTGGTATCACTCCGGTCGAGCCAGCTCATTCGTGCCGAAGTATGGCTCTCCCACACTTAAATCTTTTGCTAAAGGTAGCAAGAGAAAGACCTGTTTTACTGTAACCACTTCCAAAAAATCCTACCCCAATAAGAGTAAAAACGATGACGTTTAAAATCGCTGACAGATTATGAATATGATAAAAGAAAACGTGGTGTATAATAAAATAATCTTCAGTCAAGGCCCTTAATTAAATAGGATTTTCCGATTGAATATATCGGTCTAATCTTATCTATAGTTTAATTCATTTCCAACACAAGTAGCTACTTACAATTACGTTGATAATATTACATTTTTATTCATAGGTAGAAATGTAATATCTGCTGAGCAGTCACTCAACCGGAGTGATGATACCACGGTCTTATAGAAGACCGGCGTGAAACAAAACAGCTGTATGATTGCAGTTACTGAAAGCCGTATCACCCCCAAAACGAAGTAAATACACGTATTTCCTCTGGTGTCAATGGGCAGCCCTTATTGCTTACCATCAGGTAATCCGTCTGCCTGCGGCTGCCCTATCCCGCATCATAAATGCGATTACCTCCTACCGTATGTATGTTTGTTTCACTTTAGCGTAAAAACTACTGGACGGATCTAAATGAAACTAGGCACAGAGATAGATAGCAGTCTGGAATAGCACATAGGCTGCCCTAAACTCTGGGAATGCGGGCAAAACCGCTGTCAGAAGTTAGTCTGCTAATATGTAATAGATTACGTGTCACACTCTTGATTCCTCCAATCACGATACACAGTTATCAACAGTTATCTGCCAGCGAATTGATAAGGCAAATAAGAGATTGCAACATTGAATCAAGCAGGTTGTTCACCCATTCTAAAAGAACCTACGGGTTTAATATAGTGCTATTTTTAGCATAAACTTAAGTTTTATCATATCAGCCACACTCTGCCCCACTAGGTCCTCTCCCTTAGACTACACATGGCGACGTTGGAAGCGACATTTCAGCAACTGTCTCCGACCTTTAAAAAGTCATCTATCCGCATTGTGAGTGGACGAACATGGACTCAGAAATGGGTATTTTACTACAAGTAATTTAAAATAGACATAATTCTAAACACCATGGCATAATTAACAATTTCAATATCGATGAATCGAATATAAACTTTATGACATAACCTCAAGGTCGAAAACTGTATTCTACCCTAGAATGCACATTTAGATAGTCACGCTTATAACTAGCGAACAAAACAAGCAATAATTATACGTCTATAATAACTTTAATGCAATAAAATCTTGCCATTACGAACAAACGTGCAGCTAACGCCATCTATCCACGAGCGCGCGAACTAAATTGTCAATATCACAATCAAGTTTAAAGCGATTGTTCAATGTTCACAAGTAACATATTTGTTTAACATTACGCCTGATATTTCGTGAAGGGTAAGCAAGTCTTTGACGACGGCATCCTGCAGGTGTTTTCATAAAAGGACACGTGGCTAAACCGGTATCACCAGAGCCACAAAAAAATGTAACAAGAGAAAAAAAGAAGTTTATATTTTATGTACTAGTTTATTTTCGAGTAAACAATGTAAAAATACTATAAATGCGAGAGCAAAATTACTTTACGAGATTACAGGTAAATAAAACCAGCGGCCATTTTAATTCAAACGTCAAAAATTCCCGCCAAAATTTTTTAATATCAATCATCGTATTAAAAAAAATATATATGCCACCTTAGTCTATGTGCGATTACGTTCGGCATAACGAAATAGTAGCGAGGCTGATAAAATAAAACGTACGTCTGATAACATATTTCTACAGAACTTAACCTAAAATTGGTCACATGGTTTTAAATATTATGTATCATGCTTTGTGGTGTACGACGTAAATTAGTAGCAACGATTTTTTTAATCTAAAGGATATTTAATTTGACTCGGGAATTAATGGATTCATGGTCGAATTTGAAATATATAATAAGGATCAATTTTTGTCATTACTTGTGTGAAGTATCTGCCTACCCAGAGACAGGTGTGAGGTTATGTACCTATATGTATATATTTCTGTCAAAAAACGATTCTAATCCAGATTTTGGTTTCAAATAGTCTATTAAACTGTCAAACACCAAGCGGTCACCGGTGACCGCGACCTATTGTTCTTTAATTGTGTCTATAAAACCGGTACTCGACGAGTTAAATTCGGTCGATAAAAAAATTAATTTTTTGAACCTTCAAGTTTCCTTGTGCGTACTGCTAAAGTGTGAAATTCTGTATTTCCTGAAGGGTATAACCTGGGAGTCTTCAAGGCCCGAGTGAATAGGTTGCTTATGTATGGGACGACGTGCACCATCGTAGACCGCATCATCGCTTACCACCAGGCGAGATAGTGGTCAAACGTCAACAAATATAAATAAAAGAACTCAATATCAATGGAAGACACAATTTTGATATCATCTAGAAATGATGACAACATCCCAGTTTTGTATCAAAAACATACGAAAACGAGCTGATATCCTTTTGAATTGAGTCGCGAATAACCTAACGGGTTACCGGGGCTCCGGCTCGACGTGCAAGAGAAGGAACGGGATGGTTTTTAGTCAGTAAGAGTCTGACACTCCCTCCCGCCTCACCCAGGCGGGAGCAGTCATTCGATGATTTTCCCCGCTTAAAAAAAATCCTTTTGAATTCAGACAGATTTTTGACGAATTTGAATGGAGACTGGTTACATATTTTTGGCTCTATCCGTGTCTAAGTTACGTCTTAATTAATTTACATTAAGTATTTACATTTTAAATTGTCACCTGTAGAATATTGATCAGCTGCTTTTTAACATAGTTCTATGAATTTATTAAAATATATCAATCTGGTGCAGCTGTGTAGACGCTAATAATTCGTCTCAACTGATAATTTAAATGATGAAATTGAGATGAAACGGCTATAATACTCTGTAACATTATTTAACTATTACACCACCAAACTTATTTTTAAAACTATAGTATAAACGCCGTGTGGTGAGGGCAATTGCTTTTATTTTTTATGGGATAAGCTAATAAACGAGCTGACGGATCACCTGATGGTAAGCAATCAGCGCTGCCTATGGATACCCAAACCGACAGAGCCGTTACAAGTGCGTTAGCGGCTTTTTGGGGACAAGAAATTTGAGGATTGTTGGAATTCAGGGATTGAGGAGATTGGGAATTGGGCCTCTGGTAACCTCACTCACACAACGAAACACAACGCAAGCGTTGTTTCACGTCGGTTTTCTGTAAGGCCGTGGTGTCACTCCGGAAGCAAGGCTCTCCCATACTTCTCAACGACCTAACTTTTCCCTTGGGTATCGGCACAGCCGATCTGTGGTTATGGACCAATATTTTGACACTCATTGTGTGGAGTTTTTGTCAAATATCCTTATCAACAGACTTAGAACTGAGATTGGTTATTAGGTAATATTAATGGTTAGAGTACTAGACATTTAACAAACACTGGAAATTAGTTTTATCTGATAAATATTCTCATGTAAAGGGGTTCATAATCCCAGCCGACTATCACTATCGGATGATTACAATAAAAGTAAACATATACCCGAAGATTTGTTTTAAAAAGTTAGAAATGTAAATAAAGGAGATAATAATACAAATATTTTTGAGTAACAGTGACCTAGTAACGATAAGAATGACCTAAACATAGGTCACGAGTTCCATTAGACATAATTATGTCATTCGAAAAGAGGTCAATTTCAGTCATGATTTAGGCTTTAATAACATAAAAAATACGTCATTTAGATAGTCTAGGCTATGATACCAGATATTTGGACGTCTTTAAAAAAAATCTACCTGATGCTGAAAACATACCAGAGGAGTCATAAGTGCGTTGCAGATGTTTAAGTGGGATTCACAGTCTTGAATAATCACGACTTTTTAACCACTTAGCGCCATCTACGACAATCCTTACACACTTCTTTAGCTTCCATTCATTTAGTACGCTTCACAAACCACTTGTGACGTAAACCATGAAGGCATGAATATTCGTCTTCCTATGATTAGCATATCATTTGAAACACACGTTTTGGAGGTCACGACTCTCGCTTTTTTTTTCAATAAAACATTACCTAATAATAATATTTAGCACATCGACTTTTGACTTAGATGACGTTGTTACACGATTTTGGGTCACGGAATTTCGGTTTAGAGTTTTAAGGGGGGAATCATCGAATGGCTTCTTTCGCCTGGGTAAAGCGAGAGGGAGTGTCAGATTCTTACTGACTAAAAACCACCCCGTTCCTACTCCTGCACTTCGAGCCGGAGCACCGGAAATCTTTTACATACTCCGCGGCTCCGTATTGGCATCAGCCCCATTGGGCCCCATCCGTGGTGGTATCATGGCTAGTTTTAGGGGGTGTTAAATTTTAAGTTACAACGTTCTGCCAAGAAATTACTAGTAGAAAAAAACACTTAATGCCAAGCTATGTGGTGACTGCAGACTAGAACACATTTGTCACCTGCCTCAGCCTCACATCACACCTACTTATCCTGGCAATATCGTAAGAACCGATGTTTTCTTTTTTGAGGGGAGAAAAATCATTCAATATCGTCTCCCGCCTTGGGTGAGAGTGAGTGTGAGACTCTTATTGACTAATAAAAACCACCCTGTTCTTACTTCAGCTTTGACCCAGAACCCCGGTAACAAGCTAGGCTATCCGCAGTTCCAAAGAACCAACTTATGGACTACACATTTGACAGAGACTGGACAGCAGCGTTCTCTGCTAATCCTGAACCTTTTAAATTGCGACCTTCAACCTTCCTAGCAAGCACGAATCATCTTATGTAGAGGACGTTCATAGTCCAACAGAGTACTGTCACGATGGTGTCTGAACAATTCAATTTCTCTCGTCTACCTAAAGTTATAAGTAATATTATAGTTAACTAGTCAATTTACCATTAACAAGAGCGCACGACAAAAGCGGTAATGAGGTATTAAATCAAAATATTTACCTAATACTCTAATACTATACGCGAATAAGGAAAGGGTATCCACCAGGTAGTAGGTACAAGTATCTGATGTAAAAATATTATCCTTGCATTCGTGCATGGTATGTGTGACATTACTCATTATCGCTCGTTCTCAGGATAGTTTCAACAAGACACTTATTTCTATAGATTTGACTAACAGAGGATTTTGTCATATTTTGTTAGGTTTTGACCCCTTAACGGAAAATGCT